TCTATCTATCTATCTATCTATCTATCTATCTATCTATCTATCTATCTATCTATCTGCGTCCAGGAATCTGACTTGGCAAATTCAAAGGCATTGTGACCTGATTTGGGCAGGTGTCCACGGGGAAAGTCCTGTGGTGAACCTCGGCTCCCCGCAACACCTGGCGGTAAAGTGACAGAGCGACTTGGACATGAGAACAGATTGCTAACAGCTTACAAGCTTAACTTTCAAATAAAACCCCACTCTCTCTCTATGCCCCCCCCCCCCTCTCTCTCCATCGCACGGTTTCATTTATAGAGATAGAAACAGAGAGAAATACAGAGGAAAAGGAAGTTAGCCAGACATAGATAGATAGATAGATAGATAGATAGATAGATAGATAGATAGATAGATGCTCTGGTGCTCTGGTGCTCTGGTGTGGTTTGCTCCTTCTTTCCCATCAAACATCTATCGTCCTTATCTCTCCTCCTTTTTCTGTTCATTAATCTCTTGTAACACCTCTAATCTTTGGCACATATATGACCTTATGCAGTTGCGAGCGCCCTAAAACCTCTACTAAAACTAAGGAATGAAAACAATCTGCTACAATGGGTATTATACGTACCGGTAAGCATCATTGTCCGTCTTTCCTTTTTCAATGTTCTAGCCCTAATTGTCTTTTAATACAAACCCCCCACCTTGTTTATAAAATAAAGTTGTGAATGCAAAATATCCGAGAGCTGAATATTACCTTTTCACGCCTTAGCCTGAGGCAGGCCACACAACGCTTGTCTCCCATTTGCGCATTAAGTGCATGGCCTCAAACTTACACCCCGAGGGAATGTTCATTGGGATGTGATCTCTAAAAATTTGGGTTGTGGGGACGTTCAGAGGGGTGGCAGTACATTGTCATGTATCAGCAAACCTCAATATAGCGCGTACCAGTTTGCACGAAAGAGTTTAGATTAAACCAGGTAAAATCTTACACAACCAAGTGATATATGCACAGAAAAAGCCCCGGGCACAAATTTCTGGGCGAACGTTTCAGACTCCTGTTTTATGGATGACAGTTGGGATTTAGCTTGCCACAGCAGGCGTATTTCATTTTTTAAGTACAGAAATTTGTTGCATATTCGTGTTTTTTTAACTTTCCCTTTTATTGGTTTCGAAAAGTCATTAGCTCTATGCCTTTTAGATTTTATCTTATCCGTTGAATTCTGCCAGATTTGTGTTCGATTCCAAGTACCTCAGATGTCACGTGCGATCCCCCCC